TAGTCCCAGGCAGATATCCTTGGTCTGTGGGCACCTTTCCTCCATGTGTTGACTCAGAGACCCAAGCCCATTCCAGCAGCGGGAAGAGAAAGAGGAGTAGTGTGCAGAAGGCCGCTGCTCGCCCTCACATGCCCCCGGGGACGACTAGTCACACGGCGGCCCCGGGCCATCACCTCTCAGGAGCAAGGCTGCCCTATGCAAAGGGAAGTGTGAGTTTGGATACACAGTGGGATGACTCTGCCACAGAATAGCAACTGGAGACCTCAGGCACCCACAGGAAGACTCAGAATGCAGAGAGGCGGATAGAACCTGAGAGTCTCTGGGCCGTGACTACCTCTCCCTCTCAGAGGGGCCCAGAAGGCAGGCAGGGAGCTGTTAAAGTTTCACAGACAGCGTGGTCCCCAGCCTCCTGTGTTCTGGACCTACCAGTACAACTGCCTACCTGGGCAGCAGCCAATGAAGTCCTTGCAAAAGACTTGCCTTGTGTGTGGGGAAAACAGTTCAGCAGTGTCCTCGCAGCAGGCCAGCGGGACATCAGCAAGTAGAGGGAGAAGAACACAGGGTTCCCCAGAGACACAGAGACTAACAGTTCTGGAGAAATCCAGATCCTGTTGAACAATATGGTAAACTATTACATCTTGCTTGAGCATAAAATAGGTATTAACATACCATCATCTTACTGGGACATAAACCAAAATAACTTTCACTTTTTACATATTGCTAATTATTTTTCTGAGGCTGGCTCAGGCTGGTAAGAGAGAGATTTCAAGGCTTTCACTAGATTATTTACTTAAAGAAGCTAAGCATGTCATTATCTGTTCCCATGGAAATGCAGTAATGATACAGGAGACAGAGGAGGAGGTCACTTTGGCCATAATTAATATAAAAAAATAATGGTTTATGGAAAATCTAGTAAAGGATGCAATGAAATGCTGTAATACCTTTAAACCTTTTCTTCAGCAGTGTCATTTAATCTTTAGATCAATTTTCATATACTAGTGTCACTTTGGTAGTCTTTCTAGTCTAAATTTTGAAATGTAACTTAGTCTTATTTAACAAAATTTTTCCAATGTTGTTATTTCATTTTTGATCCAATCAGAAAATTTCAGTACTTATAATTTTGGATGACCGTACAGGTCTTAACCTTCATCCGTGTGCCTTAGCTCCATGCCGTGGTTTCTCAATAAAAGGTGATTGGTAACAATGATAGTCCAAAAGTACCACTAGATCCAGCAGTGCATTTAAAATCACCAAAGGGAAATTTAATTATGTTCGGTATAGCTTACATTTAAAGTGTCTTATTGTATTTTTTTAATTGAAAATTGGTAATCCACCTGGGGTGTCTCTCAGCTAAATATTCCATTTGTTGGAATACAGTGCACTCCTTGAGTATTCTTACTAAGAGAAGCACACTGTAGTTTACTTTTAATCCTTATGCTTATTTGAATAGTGTATTTGTTGTGCAGTTTCTTAAGGGTAAATTCTATCATGGAAGTTTGATGACACATTTTTTCAAAACTGTTTAATTTACTAGTGTCCCAGAAAGAACAAAAGAGAAAAAAGAAATAAAAGCGTTGACCTACCAAGTTTCTGGACTTTTAACACACTGACAAATTAAATTAAGTAAGAAGTTATTAGGATTTTGTTTCTTTTAGAGCTCTAGTCCGAGAAACACATATAGCCTCTTCTGGGCAGCCTTGTCTGAGGGGTAGATTCATGGGTGCTGCATAACATTGAATAATGTTAACAAACAGGTGGCCTGAAGTTAAATGGAGTCAATATACAATTTCTCACCCTTTAGAAGATAACCACTTGCTGCCACATGAGTAACCAAATTTTTTTGTAAATATTGAGCTTGAAATCATTTAATCAGGAATGTAAATCAGTTATATGCACCAATTATAAAAATGTTGATGGGATTGGCTATGGTATTGATTTTTTTTCTTTTTTGTGTGGGGAATTACAGCTGTTGTTTTTCTTTACATGATGATACTGCATTCCTATTCTAGGAATGCAAACAGCATTGTATCCTGCTTGGCAGGCACGGTGGTCACTTGGCTTAGCCAAGACTAAGAACTCTCAGCAGTACCATTGTATGGGCTTGTAGAGAACCCCTAATATAAAGGATGGTGCACTTCCCTATGTGTATTTATGCTCAGATAATTTATTTAAATAATGTTGCTAGCACATGGTTTATAGCTGCTTGCATTTTGCTACACAGATTTCAGCATATCTTGCAGACTATGCAATTCATTTGGAAAATGTAATTTCCATCCCTGCATACTAATCGATTTCTTCTCAAACACCTGCTATCAGTTATGATAATAAAAATGCCACTCTGAATTGAAAAAGGGCCAAATAGAGCTTCCTAAGGAAATGACTTAAGTGTCTTTGAATGCTACTAAATGTAGTAATGTGCTTGTGTAGTGCCAACACTTTTTTCGTCATTTGCATTTTCTGTGATTTTGCCCTGTTACAACATCCCTCTCTCAAATGATGCCTCATCACCATTTCCCTATGGATTGGCAAACCAAGTTATCAGGAGCGGTGTCTCGGGGTGTGGACAAGATTTGAAGTCGGGCTGCACAAAGTAAAGCAGTGCCAGCTCATGTCCCTGGGCATACCCTGGGTCACTTCTGGTTTTATAAGTCCCTGAACACTGTAAAATTGGATGCTCTTTGGTTTTGCACACGCATATACACCAAATAAAAATTCCTTTATTCCTTCTCTTCAGCCTCCAGTTCATTCCACGCACCATTGCTAAACCAATCTTCCTAAATCTCCAATTTCATCAAAACCTTCCACTACCCCAAGCACCTTCTGTGGTTCTCAATTGGCCGCCCCATTGAGCCTAACCTTCCCCATCCTCTCTCATCACCTGACATGGATCAGCTTTCATTGCTTCCAGACAGACATCTGCCTTTTTGTTCAAGCTTCTCTCCTTCCTGCCCCAAATATTCTGTTTTCCATTCTCGTCTCTGGGTTTTTGCTCAGGCGCTTGCTCCTGCCTGAGACGTCCTTCCCCAGTTCTTGGGTTTTTCATCTTTCAAAGCTCTCCTTTGTTCCTTCAGTCTGCATTTTTCTTTCTCTTACCTGAACTCCTACACAATATGTTCCTTTGTCATGTGCCTTGACACTAAGTGGATCTTTTATTTATTCATTTAACCAACATTTATTGAATACCTACTGTACACCAGGCATATCGCTCTGTCCTTTGAATGCATTAGCTTCCTTTTAAGTTGTCAGTTTCTATTAGATTTTAAGCTCCTTAAGAGAAGAGAGATATTTTGACCCCTCTTTTTGTGATCTAAGATGCCCAGACAGACCTGGGCACAGGCCTGAGTATGCAGTAAATGTTTGTTGACTAATTGATCCCTAATGGTTTGAGGTAGGGAATTTTCTGGTTAATTGCATGTTCTGTTTGATTAATATTTCAATGTGCACTATACATAGATTGTCATTTTGCAAAGGGGAATACCGTAAAACACTCAACTATAAAACTATTAACAAAATTTGATATTTGAGGGGAGAATTCACTGAGGTCTCAGAGCACCTCAGCAAAGCTCTGTCATCATTGTACTGCAATGTGCAGGTAGGACATCCAAGAGGCTGACCTCGATCCGGCCCTCTGACATGGGAAACGGAGGGGATGGGGAGGGGAGAAGGGGAGGTGTCAGGGCATGGAAGTGAACATGTGCAGTAGATTCCACACCACACCCTTACATACTGGACGTTACATCTTTGAGGAAGTTTCTAGTAACAAACTTTTCAAATGTTCTTTTGCTTTTCTCTCATTTATAATAGTAGAGAATTGCTTTTCTGGGGGTGGGTAGAACACTGGGACACTGGTGGAAGGGTACGGGGGGAGAATGAGAGACTGGTTTTGAACAGTCTGTTAAGAACTAAACACACTTGGACTGAAGGTAGGACCGTAACTGAGAGCAAAGACTCTGGAGCTGGCGGCCTGGGTTTGAAGACCATTTCTGCTACTTACTTTGTGGTATTGGACAAGTTATCTAACTTCTCTGTATCTCATCCTTCTCATCTGTAAAGGCAGGGCTAAGAACAGCTCCTGCATCCTAGGCTTGATGGGGGGATTGCATTAGTTCACATGAAGCTCTTGGCCCAGTACTCTGTGAGTGCTTAGCAAGCTATTATAACTATTATAGAGACCACTAAACAATAGGCAGAAGCTAGGGAAAGATTTCTCATCCTAAGTCTTTGTTTTGTACCAATGACTTTTCCCTTTTATTCAGTTTCAGCTGTTTCTGAAACCTTGAGATGTGTAAGACACTGAGTTAACTGTCTTGGCATCTCAGTGAGATAGAAATGTGAGTGCAGTCTTAATCTACACAGAGAATTTTAGGTTTCAGAGAGGAGCCTTAGAGTAACCACTCAGCCTTGTAAGGGAAAAAGGTTTTAATCTGTGGTAAAACAGATGGAACTAGGTTACCATTCTGATAGGAGCTAAAGAAAACAATTTGTGCAGTCTGTCCCAGCAGTCGAGCAGGAAGGAGTGGTGTGCATATAAATTCCTCTCTCCCCTGGGATGCTGCTGCATGCCTCAACCTGTGGAACTGCTGATTATTTGAAAGAAACAGGCACTCCAAGGAGCTAAGCAATCCTGTAGAAATGGAGAGGACAATAATGTGGTAGATACGATTGTTACCTGGAATTCTGAATGTCATCAACTGGCAGCACATACTGATGTCTGTGAGGGTGTCTAGGCTGGGGACAAGGTCAAGAATTTGGAAGGAATTAATCCCGTGCCCACAGGAAACAATCATACATAAGACAGGACAAATAGATAAAAATTCCCAAAGAAGTGATGCTTACCAACTGCAAAAACCAAAAAGAGCCCCAGGGTAAGGCATTTGAGTTTTATTTCTGAGCGGGTACGACCATTAAGAATTCAGGTGAGAAACTTCCTTTCCCACAGAAGGCCTCCTCAAACTGAGCAAGCAGGTAACTCACTTGAACCCGTTCTGTTTGTCCTCCAGCCCTGGCTGCCCAGGCATATGCTCTGAAAGAGGAGAATGACAGCCTCCGTTGGCAGCTGGATGCCTACAGGAATGAGGTGGAGCTGCTGAAACAAGAAAAAGAACAGCTTTTTCGAACAGAAGAAAACCTCACCAAGGACCAGCAGCTACAGTTCCTGCAGCAGACCATGCAAGGCATGCAGCAGGTACCTGGGCCCAGAGTTTTTCTCCTATAGAGGAAGGAATGTGGGTATTAAGGAAAATATAAAGTGGCAGCCGTTTGCCAGAAAGGGGGAAGGAGAAGAAAGGGCCACCAAAAAAGCTAAGTCTGTAGGAAGGGACAGTGCTAATAACTGTGAGAGAGTAGAATCTGGAGAAAAGCCACACTACAGAAACATGTTGAAATACATCCTGGAGGTAGGAAATGAAGGAAGAAAATTTAGGAGATTGCAAGGTTGTATATGAAATACAGCCTCGTGGCCAACAGTCAGCAAGTCCTTGCTGATCCCAACACAAGTGCTTTGTAACCTGAGAACTTGGAATTTCGAAGCACAACTGACTTTACAAAAGCGGTTTTTGTTTCGTTTGTTTTTAGGGTCAGTGTAAATGTAAGCTATATTGTTTCTAGTTCTTCTGGATTATACTTAGGATCCAGTCAGGCTGCAGGAACGCACTACCTGTCTAAGAAATGTTTGTTGATGGAATGGAGGAAATCCAGAGTTTGGGGACAGGTAATTTTAGAAACTGGGCAATCGCTGTGCTTTTGTTGAAGAGTGCCAGACTTCACCCTGGCATACTGAATTTAAACATGCATTTATGGCAATTGTTCGGAAGGAGAAGGAAGCTGTGGACTTTGGGGTAGAGAAAAGAACATGCAGTGTGGGAAATAAAAGGTTGAGGAGAGAGGAAAAGTGGAGTGTCAGCAGTCGGAGAATAGAATCAAAGATTCACAGCTGGATTTGTATCTGAAACATCAGTTGATACCTGATATTCATAAAGTGTTTGGGCTTTTGAATTATCTTAGAATAACAGAGCAAAGATTATTATCACACATGGATATTTCTTAATTACCCCTTTACATATACAAACCCAACCAACATTCTCTGAAAAACAGACTCTCTATTTAAACAAGGGAAATGTAAGTAGGATGATGGGAAGTTAAAATACATAGAGATGGGATTTTTTTTTAGATTCTCCCATTCATATTGACTGCTCTCTAAGATCAGGAGCATGAATTGCCTGCAAAAGTATCTCAGTGATTAGAGGTAACTACTACAGAAACATGAGCCAGACAGGGAAAAATAATTGAGAGGAAGGGATATAAGAAGAATCACAGATTGGGAAGTGAGCACGTTAATGACCAAGTCACAGAAGTTATATCTTAAGCATCTCCTGCCATTTTAAAGAAATGTTCGAGTCTTGGCCTTGAGTCCTAACTGGTTGGTGTTCACAGTGTGTGTTAGACTAATCAGTGAGATTCAGAGGTCAGAGCCAGCCAGGAAAATGTCATTACTCAGGTCCCTGCACTTGGAAATCGATGTAACAGCTGCTGTGTGAGGCTCCTGGGGTTATCCATATGCCCCAACATTGGGTGTGTGCCAGCGCCATTGCCAGGACGAATGTCTGTCGTTTTCCCCAAAGACCATAATGCCAGACCTAGCCCACAAGCTACGATGTCACACTTCAAGCAACGGGCCCTCTTTCCTCCTGAAAAGATTCCCCTAGTTGCTTTAAAGGTAGATAAAGGCTTTAGAGCTGTTGAAGATTCAAATCTAGAAGATTGTCAGAGGAGGCAAAGGTGCGCTGCTCAATCAGGGAGATGTACACTAGGTTTTCAGCTCAGGGACACTGAGGAGCCATGTGCCAGATGTACAAAAGAGCAATGCACAAGTCTCCACCTGAGCCACAGCCCTCCTGAAGGAGGGAGTAGGTTGTTGGAGCTTCTCATACATTTGCAGAATGTCCTTGTCAGCAGGAAATGTACTTTAATGTTTTTTGTTTGTTTTTGTTTTGTTGTTTCATTGTGGCTTGGTTTAAACAACATAAATTTATTGTTTCACAGTTCTGAAGGCTACAAGTTCAAGATCTAGGGTCCAAGAGTGGGTTTGGTTCCTTCCGAGGGCTGTAAGGATCTGTTTCATGTCTGTCTCCTAGCTTCTGGTGGTTTGCTGGCTCTTGTTGGCATCCCTTGGCTTGTAGAAGTAACACCCCAATCTGTGACTTCATCTTCACGTGGCATTCTGTGTGTGTGTGTGTGTGTGTGTGTGTGTCCAAATTTCTGCTTTTTATAAGGACACAGTTCATAAAAGACTAGGGACCCACCCTACTCCAGTATGACCATATCTTAACTAATTTTATCTGTACCAATTCTATTTCCGAGTAAGGTGACATTCTGTGGTACAGGGGGTTATACTTCAACATGTAAATAGGTGTGTGGGGCAGGACACAATTCAATCCATAATAGACACATAGTAGATAGTCAAAATATATGTGTTGAGTAGAGGAATGGATGGACAAAGGCCCAGAGGCAAGAACTAGCTTGGTGCCTGTAGGGAGCTCTGGGTTGTGTGGGGAGCTCTGGGCCGTGTGGAGAGCTCTGGGTCGTGTGGGGAGCTCTGGGTCGTGTGGGGAGCTCTGGGTCGTGTGGGGAGCTCTGGGTCGTGTGGGGAGCTCTGGGTCGTGTGGGGAGCTCTGGGTCGTGTGGGGAGCTCTGGGTCGTGTGGGGAGCTCTGGGTCGTGTGGGGAGCTCTGGGTCGTGTGGGGAGCTCTGGGTCGTGTGGGGAGCTCTGGGTCGTGTGGGGAGCTCTGGGTCGTGTGGGGAGCTCTGGGTCGTGTGGGGAGCTCTGGGTCGTGTGGGGAGCTCTGGGTCGTGTGGGGAGCTCTGGGTCGTGTGGGGAGCTCTGGGTCGTGTGGGGAGCTCTGGGTCGTGTGGGGAGCTCTGGGTCGTGTGGGGAGCTCTGGGTCGTGTGGGGAGCTCTGGGTCGTGTGGGGAGCTCTGGGTCGTGTGGGGAGCTCTGGGTCGTGTGGGGAGCTCTGGGCTGTGTGGGGAGCTCTAGGTGGGGAGCTCTGGGCTGTGTGGGGAGCTCTAGGTGGGGAGCTCTGGGCTGTGTGGGGAGCTCTAGGTGGGGAGCTCTGGGCTGTGTGGGGAGCTCTAGGTGGGGAGCTCTGGGCTGTGTGGGGAGCTCTAGGTGGGGAGCTCTGGGCTGTGTGGGGAGCTCTAGGTGGGGAGCTCTGGGCTGTGTGGGGAGCTCTAGGTGGGGAGCTCTGGGCTGTGTGGGGAGCTCTAGGTGGGGAGCTCTGGGCTGTGTGGGGAGCTCTAGGTGGGGAGCTCTGGGCTGTGTGGGGAGCTCTAGGTGGGGAGCTCTGGGCTGTGTGGGGAGCTCTAGGTGGGGAGCTCTGGGCTGTGTGGGGAGCTCTAGGTGGGGAGCTCTGGGCTGTGTGGGGAGCTCTAGGTGGGGAGGGTCGTGTGGGGAGCTCTGGGTCGTGTGGGGAGCTCTGGGCTGTGTGGGGAGCTCTGGGTCATGTGGGGAGCTCTGGGTTGTGTGGCATGATCAAGAACTAGGCAGGGAGTGGTGAGAGCTGACACCAGAGAGGTAGGTGTAGCCCCTCCTTAGCATGTGGAAGCACTCACTCCATGGTGGCCGCTATGGTTTTAATTTTTACTGGCTGTGAGGCAGATACAACTCATCTTTAACATAGTTTTAAAATATAGGTGCTTTTTTAAGAGTCACTTTTCTACCATATTCTACCATGCACGAATAAATTACCACAATTTGCTAATTTGAATCCCACTGCAAAAAATTCTTTTGATTTTAAAACCTACTCTCAATCTGCCCACCATCCACTTTATAAACTAGGGAACCCTCATCTCACACGAAAGTCAAGGAAGAGAGGAGAGGTCAGCCTCCTGTGTGTCATTGTTTCTACAGTCAGTCTCTGTTTGGGAAATTATTTCTGTAACAAACAAAATAAAATAAGAGCCTTAAGGACTTTAGAACTAGGGGTCGATTTTTTGAATTGCCTTCAAGTTTAGCCAAAAAGTTTCCAACCTTTCTTCTTTTAATCCCTTAATGGTATGTTCACTTACACCACCCAGTTTCTCATGTGTTTACAAAGAAAACATTATGGGCAGGGGCCCCCAAAATAAAAACCCTTGGGTGAATTTTTCTGGGTGTTTCTGAGTTTACGCCTGCACTACATGTGAGTCACAATTTAATAATATTAGAGTTTCATACAAAAGGGAATAATAGCTTGTATCCATGGTAACGTGGTAGCCTTTACCTGATCATAAGCTGGCCGTGAAGTTAACCTGCCTCTGCCACAGGAATAGTGTGGTTTTGACTTTCATTTTAATCTTAAGGTATATGAATAAAGAATATATATACTTTAAATTCTTATTTGTTTTTGGGTTACCACACTGAATTGTTTATTAAGGTAAAATTTACGTATAATAAAACATACTCTTTCTAGGCACAGAATTCTACAACTTTTGACAAGTGCATGCAACCGTGCCACAATCGATATGTGAATCACTGTCGTCGCCCCCTCCCTTTTTGGTCAACCCCACTCTCAGCAACCACTGATCCATTTTCTACCCTTATACTTTTGCCTTTTCCAGAATGTCATATGAGTGGAATCGTACACTACACAACCTGTTAAGTCTGGCTTCTTTCATTTACCATGATGAATTTGAGATTCATCCATGTTGCTGTATGTATCAGTAGTTCATTCCTTATTATGCTGAGTAGTATTCCATTGTAAGGAAGAGCTATAGTTTAGTCACCAGTTAATGGACATTTGGGTGGTACCCAGTTTGGGGCAACTATGAATAAATCTGCTATAAACATTCACTTACAGACTTTTTGTTTAGATACAATTTTTCATTTCACTTGAGTAAATAGCTAGGAGTAGGATTGCTGGGTCATATGGTAAGTGTGTTTAACTTTTAAAGAAAGTGCCAAACTGTCTTCTGAAGTGTCTGTACTATTGCACATTCCCATGGGACTGTGTGAGAGTTCCAGCTGTTCTGCGTCCTCAGTCAGCACTTGGCACAGCCTGTTTGTTTTGTCTTTTTTAGCCACTGTAGTCAGTGTATACTGGTATCTCTTTATGGTTTTATCAAACTAAATTTAAACAATATTTTTATTTCCATTCATGAGGATACATCAATACGTCATATTTCTAAATAATCAATTTAAAATCAGAATCCTTTCTGAGTCTTTGTGTAAATCATATTGACAAGACTGGTAAATATTTAGATAACAACAGGATACCATTAAAAACTGCTGATCATGAAACTATGTATGACTAATGATGATTATATCAGAGGCTCCTTTATAAGTACTTTGGGCCAATGCTTCTTAATAGTGTTAGCAAATCTAGTGTGAAGACCAACTGTCTTGGGCCAGTAAACCACTGGCCCACGTGGAGCAGAGGCTGGCTAACACTCTGAGCTTGACGTTGGTGAGGCCCAGGACTAGTCAGCCGTGTTAGCAACTTTCAGCAAGCGGGGGTAAGAAGAAAGAAAAGAGGAAAAGGAGGATTATTATGATCAACACCCTTTTACAAATTAAGTAATAGGTATTTTTCTTTTTATATTCAAAGTAGAACATGTGTTATTTTCTATATGTTATTGCAAAATCAGACAAATTTAGGACTAATTTTATAGAAGACAGAGAAATACAATATTACTACTTTCCTAAAATATAAAGTAACCCCAGTTAGTTTTGTCAAATATTGGGCAAGAGTCAGTCTTTGGAATATGTATTAAGGAATAAACAAGTGTCTTGAAGTTAGAACGTGTCTTCTGCAATATTGTTTAAAGTACTCAATTGCTTAGTAAGTACTTTTTTTCAGAGGTAAAGAAAAGCTTGCACCCAATTCCTCCCTCAAATTCACATGTAGAGAAGTCTGATGTGTGCAAGTCAACATCAAAATAATAATAATGGCTGCAGGAGTGGTACCAGGGGTGGTGATGATGGTGGCCGTGGTGGGGATGGTGGCCGAGGCTCTGTCGATGACTCTGATAAAGATGGCTGCAGTAGTCAAGCTGACCATAGTAGTGATGTTGGCTGTGGTGGTGATGGTGGTACTTTTGGAGATAAGAAGATTTTAGGCAAAGACAGATTAAAAGCTATCACCTGAAAGCTGTAGAAACCTCAAACGTGCAGCAAACCTAATGCTCCCAGCTGACTTCAAAAGGTAGGGCTGCAGAGAACCAGGCAACTGCCTTTCTGCAGCAAGAACAAAGAAGTATAACAGGAGTCTGGCTGCAACAGGAATCTCTCCTTTTTCTTGATCACATTTCACTTTTGTTTTCTGTATTTAATTTCTTTCCGAAATACCCACCAGTCAGATAATGGACCTACTAGGTAGATACTCTGCCCATTATCCTTTTTCTAACATTTTGTGTTTTAACTTTATCTTTCATCCTTTCCGTTGAAGTTTCTGCTTGACAGTCATATTATTCTATTTTCAAAAGTTTATTTTGTTCTCTGATTATTATCTTATTTTTATTTTATGGTTGCGGTGTCTTCTCAAGTCTTTGAGAATGCTAATTAGAATTTTTAAAATCTTTTTTGTTCCTGAATCTGTTCTATTTATTCCAGGATTAGTTGTTTGGCTTTTCTGTTTCAGTCTCTCTCTTTAATGTACAGGCCTCCTCACAACCGAGGTGATGGTTGGTAGTCTGCTTATGTTTAGGCATGAAGGGCTTGTTCTGCTTCCCTGGGAAGTTGTGTGGGTTTGCTCATTGCTGTGTTCAGGTCTCCTGCATGGCTGAGTCTTTCTCCCGTGCAGTGGCTGACTGAGGGCTCATTGACTGGCAGGCTTCACTTTAAGGGGACCTGGGGATCTCACAAATGCCAGAATCTGTCATACACTAGGAATTCCCTCGAACTCCCTCCCTGTTCTCTTTGCTTTTATAAGTTTATTCATTGACAGACATTTTAATTGAGTCTCTGGAGTAGGGGGAAACACACGTACACTGCCTCTGACATATTGAACGGAAACCTGTTTCAGGGGCATTTAGCTTTAAACCCGTCCTTGCATGAATTCCTGGTTAGTGTGTGGCCCGGGAGGATGGGGGTGGGGTTGGGAGGAGTATTACAAATTATTCTGGCTGTCCAGAAACATCTAGGGAAAAGAAGAACAGCAAGCAAGTATGAATGTCTAAGAGGAGGGAACAAAGGAACTTAAAGTGGCGTATTTTGGAGGAATGATAGCTGTGTCAGGATGAGGAGGCAATGCACAAATTAAAAGGACTTTAGAGACAGGAAAAGGAAGGCATGTAGGGAAAGGCGACTGGAAGAAGCTGAAATATGGAATAATGATAGAGAAATGGCTAACTTGTCCTGCACTCTAATTCAATTTCCTTGTCCGAGAGGAGAAAGGAGGCCACCCTGTGGGGAGGGCACGCCCGAGCACCAGTGCACGTACAGATGACAGAAGAGCAGCGCGTTCCAGCAGGGGGGGAGGTGAGAAGCATATGCAGAAAGAATGGAATGTGCAGTGGGAAGAACAAACAGTTCTTCCTCTGTAGTTAAAAAATTTTAAAGGAAAATGACAAGCATAGAAGGACAATAAAAAGGAAAAAAAGAGAAATCCCTCTAAAATAAGAAGTTTAACATTTTTATAACAAATTATATTCTAAGAGCTTTTATGAAATATTTAGATCCTAGATGTAGAATGTGAAAAACTAAAGATTAATTCATTTGGAATTTAAGTTGCAATATATCAGGAGGATCTACCTTCTAAGTAGAGTTCATGAACCTCAAAAATGTTCAGTTAGAAGGAAGAAATAGCACATTCCTGATGATCTGATTGTCGACTCATTCAGGAAGAAGCTTACATCATTATCATATTATCTTTATTATCTGAAAAGATTATACATCTGTGCAGAAAATAATTCAGCATCACTGGACAGAGCAAGAAAATCTCCTGATTGCAGTGTAGAGAAAGGAACTTTCTTTTAGACTCCTGTATGAGTAGTAAAGCCTTCAGCTTGGAAACAGTTAAAAACCACACACACATGTAAAAAACTGGAGTCTTTACTAGCTACGGCTGCAGAGACATACCCCACATTTATTTGATTCTATTTCAACTACTTAGATGAAGTTTCTTTCTTTCTGAACAGAAAAACAATGTACATTTCCCACATTCGTATTAAAAGCCACTGACATTTTACTAGAATCAGAAAAATCAAACACGTACATCTCTCAGATGATCTGGCTTTAAAAAGGTTCAGTGACTAAACAGTTCACAAGAGCTGCCAAATTTGGAGTCCACCATGGTCTTCCTTTCTTTAAGATTAACTGCCCTGGAGTTTGTAATTTCATTTTATCCTCATTCTTCAGCCAAGTTCCTGGGATGGTGCCTTATAATAGCAGCCCATGTGATGATAATCCTTACAATTCTGTGGCACCTTTCATTAGACCTTTCAAGGTCATCTGTGGGGTTCCTGCTAGGAGCATGTGCATTTTCTGACATTTGCAGATTGCATTCCCACTCCATCTGGAGAAGGTATGTATCCCACTCCAGTGTGGGACTCTTGAAGGGACTGTTGGCTAAATTTGGAACCAGAAATAGAAACCAGTTCTCCAATTCTTGGCCCAAGGCTTTATATTAAAAGCCCTTCTTGCTTGAAATGATCATACCTGACATTTATTAGAGGTTCGGGAGTTTTCAAAGCACTTTTCCGTGATTCTGGACAAAATACAAAGACTGAAAGTGAAGATAATGGAAAGGAAATCTCCCTAAGTATTTTTAGCAGTTTCAAGCAAGGATGGGCCACTGGGTATCCTGTCGTCCTCACTGAACAGAGGTCCTAAGAGGAGGAAGGCTGAGCTGTATGTAAGCCACCCAAAAGCATGAATAATAAAAAGAAAACGCTGAACTAGCAGAAGGAAAAGGTGGCTCTAGCTTGACTGCTTTGGGAAAGTCAGCCTCTCTGGGCCTCAGGATCTTCATCTGAAGAATAGGTCCTGCTGACCTTGGTAAGGCTTTGCTACAATAAAATGAGATTATGTATGTAAATACATTTTGAAAAGCTATTGTACAAATGCAAACTGTGATTGCCATATTCCAGGTGAAAATATGGAAAGATGTACAGGTTTAAGAGAAGACTCAGGATGCACAGAGTAAGCCTAGACAAGTCCAGGTCTAAATTTCCTGATACTGGCATGGCCTGTGCTGTTGCTCCTGTGCCCCTTGCAGCAGGAAGGCCCACTCTCTCCAGTTAACTCACAAAAGCACCTTCACCCTTCACAGTATGTCACTCAATCCTCACAACAACTCAGGATGGCGTGCCTATCAGATAAGAAATTGAGACCTAGAGGTGTCAAGCAACTGGCCCAAGGCACAGGTGTACCTCTTGGAAGCAGAACTCCCGCCCAGGTCAGTCTGACCACAGCCTCTGTGTTCTGTTTCTCCATGGCTTTCTGAAATGTGCTCTGAAAGCAGTGCTTCAGAACTGCGTTAATCATAAGAGCAGAAGACTAAGAAGTTTTCTCCTTCGTGTGTTTGTGGATTGCTGAAAATATTATTGGCAAAAACCCATTGCCTGGTTTCTGACTCCGTGTCATAGCCCCTCGTTTGGTCTTTGCATTAGCAGAGTAAAACCTAGCAAAAGGAAAGTAACACGCAGCTTTTATTTATTAAACTTGAACTGTAAGAATAAATCTCTTCACTTCTGGGAAGGGAAAGAGAAGCGCTAATAAAATTTAACTATGGGAGGCTTCATCTCATCATTAGTTATCCTGCTTTGCCATTAATTAATTTGATCATCAAATGCATCCTCATTAGTAATCACTCCTTCTCGAAATAATGAGGCTAGCAGACGAATCAATGTAGGAGCCAGGGGCAGAAATAATGGCATTGCCCTGCAGACCATTAAAATCATTTGGCTTCTGCCTTTTGCTGCTTTTCCCAATGTCTGCAATGGGAAATCTGGAATCTCCAGTAGAGTTGCAGCCATTCCTAGGAGAAAGAAACTCTGCTTTTCCCAACACAGTGTCCACAGCATTAAGGTGGTGGTCCTCTTTGGCTGCATGGTCCACCCACAGTAAACAAAACAACATAGAATGTGATAATAATGGGAATTTTGGATAACCTGTGAATGACCTTCCCTTTCACCGCTTCTTTTGGAAATTGCCTCCTGGCTTACAGGCCATATCACACTATGAGTACCAGATTTATAGTGCTATGCACCTTTTCTTAAATGTAGTAAATCAAAACGGACTTTTCCTACAGACATGCACTGGCCTTCTTCTCTGTTTGACCATTGTCGTCTTTCTCTCTCCAGCCACAGACACTAAAATGAATCCTTGTGGTCTGGCCTTGACTTCATTTCTTTATAGTCTGCCAATGCAAAGAAGCCAACCCATTCACGCTGAAACCCTGAGCCCTGCTGGCACCACGGCTGCCGTGTATGGCAGGTGTCCTGCTCCCAGCCAGACTGATGTAATTACCCATTTCCCAAATCAGGCTGCATTTGGGAGGGCGTCGTTCTCCAGGGCTCTCCATGCAGCTGGTTAGGAGAGGCACCATGAGGATTAGGAAGACCAGCCAATTTTGCTTCTCATCAAAAATGAAGGCTGTGAAAAGAAAGCAGGGAGAAATGTGGTGAGAGCGAAGAAATACAGCATGGAAACAAAGAAGAAAAGAGAGGAATGAGTCAGAAAAAAATCCTTTTCTAAGTAAGAAAAAACACAGAGGAAGAGAAACGTAGGTGGGAGCTGCACTTTTCCTGGGTCTAGGTTTCTCATTTTAATTTTTGTTTTGTTCTTCCTTTTTTACAAGAGATATATGCTCAATGCAGAAAACTTGGAAACATTTTTAAAAAGCATGTAAAAGGAAACAAAAATCGTTCACAGTGTCATTCCCTAGATGTAACTATTGTTAACATTTTCATATATCCTTTCAGTCTTTTTCTCTATGTACATATAAACATATAGTGTTAATCACTTTTAAATATTGGCCGATGGAATAGCCAAATATAGTCAGTTAATGTTTCGGGAATTGTAACCAAAGTGTGGAACTGGGAATTCAGTTCCAAGATGTGGGATGGTTAGTTAAAGACTATGTTTTCTCCTCTGTTTAACAAAGCACCCTGAATAGTCATCAAGGGAAACTTTAAAAAGATAGTG